CCCAGATTCAATCTGGGCCGTTGGGCTCATATGTTCATATGAGCTAGTGGGCTAATCCCATCTTTTCCCATATATATATATATATATATATGTATGTCATTATTTTAAATCCACAAATATTAGCACAATGTCTATGGGACTCGAGTGCTATACATTTAGTTTACTGGACAAGAACTTGAATTGCTTGAGCTACTAGGAACATGATATTGACCTTCCCTTTGACGAACTTACATTAAGTTTCTCGTACCCATTCTGTGAATGAGTGTAAGCGTGCAAGCATGAGCACATGTTGGTGTGTGTGCAATAACATTTCTATAGTAATTCAGTTTCAACATTTTATTAAATAGTTTGTAATGGTTATAAAACCATTAGTGATAATCTGTATCACGTAGTGAATACCGATTGTACTCATTTTAACAATGTGTGCGCATTGGACATTTTGGAGAATCTCCAATAAAAAGCTTTGAGAGATTAACTTGAATCATTTCTCATACCCTCATGCCATGTGCAGCTTTTTACTGCTATCAAGGGACAAGGAGCCTTTCTGAATGACCTTCCTATAAAAGGTCTGAAGGTTATATTTGTTTTTATGCCAGAATTGCTTAATATATTATTTTCTTAGTATTATGCATCAAAAAAGAAAAGAATTACAATAAATTAGGTGTGTCCTAGATGTTTTGTTCAATTAATTTCATATGTACTTCCATGATATCCTTCTTCACATCTCATGGTTTTAACATGTGACAGCATCATCTCAAACTGAACTGGTGAAGTCACTACTTGCAACTGAGGTAAGTTGGTGACCCTTACATCATCCATGTTGCAAATTACAATGATGATTTTATTTTTCTATTGCACATTTGCTGCTCTTGTTTCCCATATTGTTTATCACTCTATCGTCCATGAAGTCCCAATCAATAGTTTCTTTATGTAGTCATTGTTAAGGATAAAAAAGGATATGAAATTAACCATGGCAAAAGGTGTATCACATGAAGGTATTAGGTTAAAGTTTTTGAGCTGTAACTATTTCTAGACATTGAAACAGCTAGAGTTCTTTTAGGTGATCATCCTGTCAATTATCATGTGGATTGTATACTAATAATACCTTTTTCTTTTGGTATAAGGAGGGTCTCAATCACCCATAGCTGTTAGATGTGAGATATGATGGCTTGGGGTGTGGTGTAAAGTTCAAAAACCTCTCTCTTGGACTTTGAACACAGTTAATGGCACATCCCCAACGGCCTAATTTTGCATCCAACAGCCAAAATTGATTCGGACCTCCTTGTACTGAAGGTAAATGATCTTATTGTACGCTTTTCTTTATCATATATGAAATATGCTTATTTCTAATCAATAGGGATTGGATACTAATTGGTATATATTATAGAGAGAAAATATAATGTTTAGTTAGTAAAGAGTAATATAATGTTGTCACTTGAAAAGAATGGAGAAACATAAAAGGTATATTAATAGTATCCAGAAAATGCAAGCTCAAGCCCTTGATATTTTTGTGAACCCTCTAGGAAATTCAACCATTTCTCAGCTTGAATCTTGTTCAATCCATAAAGATGCCAGCATGTTGGCAGAAATTCCTTAATGTGTGTCTCTTTTTATCCACTAGCATTAGTTAATGGAATGATGAAGCAATTGGTAGTCAACAATCAGAAAAGTAATAAAGCAACTGGCAGAGTAATACATGATATACTCTCAATATTTAACACATTGCATTATGCTTAGTTACATACGGGTCAACTATAGTTGTTGGAAATGCCTGTGATTCCGAATCGTTTTAGGAATTGGAATCGCCTGTTTCAGATGTTTCCTAAACTTGGAATCGTTGTCTGTATGATTCGGAATTACGAATCGTGATTCACACTATATCGGAATCGCGTTTCAATAAAATAGGAATCGTGTTTCCTATTTGTAAGAATCGATGTCCCTTCATGTTGGAATCGAGTTTCATACCTATTTGGTTCGCACCTGACCTCACATAGTTCAGTGGATTCTGGAATCGTGATCCGATGAGATTGGAATCGTGATTCCTAAAAATATAGAATCGTGATTCCTAAAATTCTGGAGTCGTTGTCCCCATCAACTCGAAATCAAGATTCTCACCATTCAGGTATCGAGATTTTCCCATACTGGAGTTGCGCACCAATCCCCTTCAGTATATAAGAGAAGCATTCAGAAGATTAAATTTTATCAACTATTACAAGATTGAATTTTGGTCTGTATGTATTTAGTCCAAATACCAATGTCAACCTTTATGATATCTTTGTCAATAATCTCATACAATGGACTCGGTCTACCAACAACCCTTCGCCTACAAGGCCTGGAGCTGGTCTACGGCATACAACTAGTGAGAACAAGGACGAGGTCCCTCTATCTCCTTTCCTTGAATTATAAAATAAGTAGATGACATAGAAATTCTTCTTTGTTAGATGTAGTTTTGACTTTTGAAAATTGCGTTATTCAATTTTAAGTCAATTTCTGATATTTAATGATTAATTTAACCTAAAACACAATAGGGCACTTCGCTCATATTCTTATCTTCTTATTCTACTTTTAAAAAAGCAGTGGTAGCATATCTTGGTACCCATCATATCTTAAACAATATTACATTAGTACCCACATCATTTACAAAAAATTATTAAATTTGAAGTAACAAATTTTTTAAATAATATTTATACGTGGTAAGAGTTGTTAAAAAGTAATATGGAATTCGAATACAAGGATAGAAATTAGAAAACAAGAAAATAAAAAATTTCACATATTCTCCAAATTTAAAACTTTGATTTTAATGCCTTGTGCAACAACTTCAGATTCGCAATTCCTAAAAATTTGGAATCAATGTTTTGCACAAGCAGAATCACATTGTTGTGTAGCTAAGAATCACAAAGTCTGCGATGTTGAATCTTGATTCCAGGTTTTCAGGAACCGAGATTCATAAACTAAATTGAATCGTATTTTGAGAAACTTGGAAAGATTCCTTTCTTTCATAATCGAGTTTCGTCCTGGGAAACACAGAATCGCTACCCTATTGGGCGATTCGGGTAACTATAGGTTCAACCAGCTACTATTTTCATGTTAATAAACTCTACTTTTTATGAAGATTATGAATACTGTTAAACTAGTTTTCTAACTCTGATCATTTTAACTAATCAGAGCAAACCATATGTACTCACTCTTATGTCCACACAAATTTTACAATATATCATTTACAGCACATGCTTAGCTTTTGTCTTATCCCATTATGATGGTCATTTTCTTTACATCCATATTCCCCCATCAATTTTACCACGAACTACTGCAAAGAATTATTCTTACATGTTCAAACCTGCGTACTTTTCCATATTCTCATTTTTAGCCATGACGTTTTAAAAGTTGATGGAGAGCAGATGATTCTTTCATAAATTTAACTGAACTCGACACATTTGAGCATGAGCAACATATACATTGCCTTATCTTAAAAATCAAACAGGTTGGGACAAAGCGGGACCAGTCAAATGTGGATGCCACTACAAATAGGATTAAGAGCCTTCTTTTCAAGGTAATAGAGCTTTAGAAATTGAGCTTATTTTTAAGGACTGATTGAGCTTATTTTTAAGGACTGAGACCTGATGATGTTTCTCGGTTTATAGGTGAGATCCTTGAGGATGAGTGGTTCCTGTGCTTTGAACCTTTGTGGAGTTGCACGTGGAAGGCTTGATATGTGCTATGAGATTGGATTCGGAGGCCCTTGGTAAGGTTGTGTGTGAAATAAACTTACTTAGAACTTGAATTGCATCAACTTAATTGATGTTTATGAGCTTCTGTGTTAATATCTCAGGGATGTGGCTGCTGGTGCTGTGATCGTTGCAGAAGCAGGCGGTTGTGTTTTTGACCCGTGAGTCTCTCTCTCACATATACACACACAAACACACACACATGCACATGAGCACACGTGTAGAGATTCTTTTTCATAGCATGTGTTCTCTCTTTCTATCTCTCTCTCTATCACCCACAGAAACACAGGAGCAGAGATACACATTTAGAGATTGTCTCTTTCATAGCATTTACTATTTTCTAATACATGTTTGAAATTGGTTGAAAATACTTACATTTTGGGGTGCGTGACAGATCTGGAAATGAATTTGATATCATGTCTCAGAGAGTTGCTGCCTCTAATGCTCATGTCAGGGATGCATTCATCAGTGCACTAAGGGAAGCCATGTAATTCAGCCCACTTCAACTTATGGGGTTTCAGTTAATTTTTATTTTTTTTTCTTTTTTTTTCATATATTTGCCCACAGCTCTAGAAACATTTGCAGTAAGGTTCCAGATCATTGTGCCTGAAAACCTGCAAATTAAGCGGTAAAAATAATTTGAAAAGTGGCTTTGAAGTTGCTGCTGAGATATGACATGCTACTTTTTTTAGTGATCATTTTTTCCTTTTTCTTCCCCCTGTTGGAAGGGGGGAGATGGATTTAAGGACTTTGCTTCATTTACAGGAAATGTCAACAATAGATTACGATTTGCTTATTCCTGACTTTTGATTGCATGAGAAATGAAGGGCATGATTGAATATTCAAAGACTAATTAAATATAATTTTATAAAAAGATAAACAATGTGATTACTAACAGTGAAAACAATTTTTGGAAATATCATTAAAATGGTCAAATCAATTCAAAATAAATGAAGAAGTTAGCTAAATGGAAATTCTATCAATGATGTCGTTACTTTTTTTAAATTTCCATTTAGATACTCTCTCAAGAATTTTGTTAAGAATCTCCAAATTATTGTTGTTCCAAGTTTGTAAGCTTGAATAAAGGCGTTTTGATTATTTAAACCACTTAGGTAAGGACACGGTTTCTATGTGTCCATGTAGAAATGAGTCACCTCTTAAAAATTTATTTTTGAGATGGATTTTTTGACTTAATTTTTAAGGACTTGTAGTCTCTAATATGAAGATCATGAATATGAAAAATTAAAAATAATAAATCTATTAAAAAAATATTTGGACTGCTAGTTTCAATGGTTTTTAGATGGACCACCTATTTGCATCTACCTATGGATGCTTTATACTTTGGAATTGAATGGTATATTGTAGAAATGTGGTTATGCCCACATGAAGCAGTTTTTGGTTATGCCCTCATGAAACAGTTTTTCCTTTAGTAAAGACCCCATCTTGTTATGAGATCAAATCCAAAACTTGTTTTTTTTTTTAAAAAATGATGCTCCAAGTTTGGAATCTAGAGCAAGTGGAAACATTCTGGTAAGTTGTCTACTTACGTTCACCAAAGCCAAAGGGGCATTTTGGTTATTTACGAATTGTTTAAACTAAATGACTTAAATATCCCATCTTCTTTTGATATAAAACACAACTTGTTTTTTTATTAAAACTCATGCTCCATGTTTGGAACTTAGAGCAGGTGGAAATATTTTGATAAGGTGGCCACTTAATTCATCCAAACCAAAAGATGTCAATACCTATACTTATTTTTTCTATTTATAGTAGAAATAGAATTCAAGATGTCATATTGTGGCACCGTGACCGCTTTGTTTTAGCATATTTCTAACCTTAAACAAGTAGGAGTTATAACTTAAAGGGAAAAGTTTATATAAGGTTGTAACCTTAAAATGTAGAATCATAGATGCACTTCAAAAATTTATCGAAAATGTTGTTTTAATGTTGAAAAAACTGTTTAATCGATCATCTCGACATCGAGATATATGAATATGAAAAAAAAAACAAGTTTTGAATCTCGAAAGTAGTGCATCTTACAACACACATTATCTAGACTGTCCATTTTCAAGATTTTCATATATTTATAGATTTATTTGATTTTAACCATTTTTGGAATTTAAAATTTTCTAATTAGACATGAAAATAGATTTTAAGATAATACTAAGAATTTTTTACAATAAAATTACATGTTATGATAAAATTTTAAGGTGCGCCTTAATTGGATTGTGTAACGTTGCAACCTTATAGAAACCGCACCCTAACTTAAATGACTAAATTGCCAAATTCCCTCACCTCTTCAAAATTCCAAATTTAGAGTAGGGGCAGTTTTGGCATTTTATTATGTAATAGTTGAGGAGGTATCAAAGTGAAATAATTTCAAAAAGCAACAAACTTCGTTGATAAATTAGTTGTTTTAATCATCTCAATGATTGTGTCAGCGTATTTGACCATTTTGTTGGTATTTTACTTGATATAATGGTGCTTACAAGCAATGTCGTCAAATTCGTTTAGCTTCGGCTAAAGAGGTTGAAGCCTTCGGATTTTAGGCTGAGACCAAAGCTCAGCGAACCATGGTGGTGTCACTTCAACCAGATTTTGGTATGCTTCGAGTAAATTCGGTCAAAGCTTTGGCCTCTTGTCCTAAGCAAAGAAATATCCATATAAAAATTATTTTTATTTTTTTGAATTTTTTATTTTTTATTATTTTATATACTTTTACAAAATTTCTCATTTATTTATATTAAATTTTAGAAAATACCGAAGCCTTTCTTCGAATTCGCCGAAATCCGAATTATTTCATTTTTCTCACCAAACCAAAGAAGACTCCGAAGCGAAACCGAGTCACTTATAATTATTATTATTATTATTATTTTTGGTCATATTTTAATAGGGATGATAGACCTATATTTTTAAATAGTTAATGGTTTTTTAGGCCATCAATGGGATTGGAAGGCACAACGTACAGCTAAAATATGAGGTGTGCTACCAATGACCTCGGCCCCTTCCTTGACTCAACTACTCAGGAAGAAAACGTTAATTTCATTATTAACCAAGTTCGAGTTTTGAGCAGGTGTCAAGTATGAAATACAAGTTATTTTAGTAGTATCGGAAACCTTTTAATAAAATCTATCCATATTTGATAACAAATCATCATAGTAAAATCATGTGCTGGTTGTGGCTAAACTATTTCAAGTTTTAATTTGAATATTTTAAAGCTTATAGGCATTTGATGAGGATGTAAGACTAACAAAAACCTCATCATCGGAGCATTTTTCTAATTATTTAGGGTTGGCGATATGAATTTTGATTCGTCATCCTATTCTATGAAGACGCGTTAATGCTAACAGCAAAAGTTCCACCACATATTACAATTGTTTATTGTTCAAGCGCTTGTACAATTTGTACAAATTAGCCCGGGGGAGTAATCAATTAATCCTACAAGCGTCTAAACTAGTCCTAGTTTTTGTGTAAGCCTTGATGTAGCAAAAATGGTAGGAGCCCTGCAATTTGCATCATTTAATATAATTGGATATTGCATATTATACCAAAAATAGAAATCGAAGAGTTTTGGGTGTGATCAACACTATTCAATTACATTAGGCAATACGAATCTCAGATTTAAATGTTACAATAATATGTACAGGGCGTTGATACACCAAACATATTTTTTAGGAAAAATTTTGTATAGAACTCTAATTCCTCGTATTATTTTATGGTAGGCCCTCTTTCTATTTTTCTTTCAAGTGGCATAAAAAAACCCCTAAAGATTTCACCATACCACTTCATCTCTTATCCCTTTCTTTTATTGACTTTTGATTATAAAAATTAGTCCGAACAAATATTTTTATACCATTTCAACTTAAAAACCTTTTTAAAGCGTGAAAAGGAAAATAGATAAGAGATGAGGGGGTCCAGTGAAATCCTTAGGGATTTCCTTATACCGCTTGAAAGAAAAACAGAAAGAGGGTCTACCATAAAATAATATGAAAAATTAAAGTTCTATATGAAATTTTTCCTATTTTTTATAAAAAAAATAAAACATTTCAAGTGCTATGCTAAACTGCATGAATAATAAATAGCCCAGCACAACTTTTAATAAGAACACCCCTTCTCATCCAAATCTCGGACCCATACCCACCAACTTCTCTCTAACAGAGATGATAGGAAATGTGGGTTCATGTACTAAAAGTGATTGCAAAAATTGGACCACTATCTATAAATTTAGAGGTCCACATGCACTCTGTTAGCTAAGTTACCAAATAATCAATGTTTGATGGGATTTTAATAATGTGCCCTTTAGAATCAAAGCCTATTTGGGGTACTAAAAGTTATATTATGAAGGCAGTGATTTCATGCAACGGCCTATATTTGGCTGTTTGGACAACAACTAAGCAACTGATGTATTTGGGAAGGATGAAGTTTCTATAATCTAGGATCTATGAAAATAAAATAAAGTCTCACCTCAAATTTTTGTCTGGAAAGCACCTTCGGCAATGAAAATTTCTATGATGGCTTTATAATCAATTTTCAACAACAACAATAAAATTTGAAATTAAAAAAATGGTGCAAATATTGTAGATCTTTAAACACTTATTTTTAGGGTGAAATGGAGGGCCTAAATAATTTGTTGCAATATACAATATTTTTAGAGTTTTAAATCCTTTTTTTTTTCCAAACATAATGTTCAAGTCAAGATTATTGATATAAAGGTTTTTCAATACTTGAATTGCAATTTTAATGAGTTATGAGGTGACACTTTATTTATTTTGATAGGGCTGCAGCCCTATCAAACCATTTGCCACATGGGAATTCTGCAACCAAATGATGGCATTTTATAATTTAGGTCCCGTTTCGGGGTCCTAATTATTGAAGTTAGAAATAGAACCCTCTTGAAGTTGCACCCAAATAAGTGGAGTACCACTATCCGTGGGGTCCTTTCTAGAATGAAACCCCACTTATCCGTAATATGCTGCCAATCGTAGGGTATTCGGCGTGGTGACAAGAAAGAGCTTTTTTTTTTTCTTTTTTAAGGGGCAGTTTGTATAGAGCCGAGGCTCTAAACAATCGAAGTGAAGCTCATCTTTAAATAGTGGCAAGAAATATGATTTCAATATCGGAAATCTTTGTGATAGCCTTAAAATATAATTTCATCTTTAATTATAAATTTAAACCTTGAAAAAAATGCAGATCGAGCAAATATGTGAAAAATTAAAAATCTTGAAAATTGACGGTCCAAAAATGCACTATAAGATGCATTATTTTCAATACTTGACATCCATTTTTTTCTCATGTTCATGCATCTTGATATCGAGATGATGAATATGAGGATATTTGGGCATCAAAACAACCTCTTTTAGTGAAATTTTTGAAGTAGGCTGTAATTTGAATTTTTAGAGCCGCTGCTCTATAGGAATTTTTTCCTTTTTTCAATCGGTATTTTCATTAGATAAAGGAGCAAAGCTCCAAAGGTCTAATAGAAAATACATAAGAAGAAATAGAAGAATATAAGCACTACTGCCTAGTAGAAAAAAAATATTGCCACCATAAAAGATAGAAAAGTATATATTGTATTTAATAAGATAAAAAAATACATATTGCAATTGTATTATCATTATATATACAATAAAAAAACCACCACTACGAAACACATTTTTCTTGTCAAAAGTTCTTTATGGTATCAGAGTAAAACTGATCGTCCTAAGCCGTTCTCTCGCTTCTCCTCTCTAAAACTCACGCGTCACCAAGCCTTCCACGCTACTACTGTTCCTATTAGCACCCAACGAGATGCACTGA